AATAAAACTACTTGTTAAATAAATAGAACTACTTGTTAAATGAATAGGACTACTCGTTAAACGAATAGGACTACTCGTTAAACGAATATGACTACTTGTTAAACGAATAGGACTACTCATTAAACAAATAGGACTACTCGTTAAATGAATAGGACTACTCGTTTAATGAATAGAGCTACTCGTTAAATGAATAGGACTACTCGTTAAATGAATTAACAAGTAGTCCTATTTTATTGGTTTACTGAATAGGACTATTTTGTTTAACTAATAACACTACTTGATTAACAAATAGTACTATTCTTTAAACAAAATTATTGTTATTTGCTTGCTTTATATTAATCACTTCTTTTCTATATAGGTATTGAAGGATTACCTTACGATTTACAGAGAAATTTTTCCCTTCAAAAAGATTTAGATCAAAGAGCACATGGTAATTTGAATTTCCATAGACTTAAAATTATTAAAATAATAAATTATTGTTAATAATTTTAGTTATAGTTTTTAGTTTGTAACTAATTATCAATCAATGTAATTTTTTTTTTTAGAATGTTTTTTTATAATTATTTAATCAGGGTGTTAGCTAGGAAAAAATTTAATACAGCATTTTTGCAATATTGGGAATTTAGGTGTGGTCTAAAAAAAATAAATAATTCATACACCAGGTTTAATTTAATTTTTTATAAGGTCCCAGACAAAATGTCCGACCAAAAGTTATTTTGGTCGGACATTGTCTGATCAAATTTTTGAAATAAAATTTAAACAAATAATTTTCACCAATATTTACATATATTCATATTTGTTTTGTTAAAAGGAACACAGGAAAAAGATAGTTCTTTAAATGCAGAGAGTAAAAAAGTACTGCAGATGGGTTTTTTTAGACTAGCTTCTGGCGTATCTGAGTTTTACGGAATTATCCAATCGAAATATATGTTATGTTTTCCCAGTTTATTTTATTTTAGGCTAGTGAAGTTGTAGTTTTTTTTTTTTAATATTCAGAATTTTTATCATCGTAGATCTTTGTATTTTAAATGAAATAGTTTAAATTCAATACTGCGCTTTCTTTTTTCTCTCGAAAACCTTTTTAGTTTACATTGAATTGCATTACTGGTTTATAAAAGTTATGTAAATTTTTTTACTTAAAAAAATATAATATGCTAAATGTCAATTTTGCGCATAAGCTCCACTTTTAGCGCCAAAAAGGTATTTATATGGCGTTCATGTAACTATTTTTATCAATAATAAAAACGGCAAGAAAACAAGTTTGTTATAGTAATAATAATGTCTTTAATATATTAAATATTAAGATAAACATATTATTTTTAAACTTGATATAAAAAATTTAAACTTCGCTTTTACTTATTTAAAGTTAAATCAATTTTATTTTAAAGAATTAAAAATCTTGCCGGACAAAATGTGTGATGACTTTGTAAATTGATTGGACAATCTGAGGTTTTAGCCGGACAATGTCCGATGTCCGACTGTTAAATGAAGCCCTGATACACACTCTACGCGAAATATAAATAATGGAAAACTTATTGTACCATCATATAAAACTCAAAAGTATGGTAAGAATGTAATGTTGTGTATCGGTGCATCTGTGAATGGAACAAGAGTCTTGTGTGCATTGTGAATGAGTTCAATAAACTCCAACTCCGAACTTCTTTGTCATCTTTTCTTAATCTTAATCAAAATCAATTTAAAAAAATTCTGAATAATATTTTGTTATAATTTTTTTCTATTACTATAATAATTGTCCTTATTTTTTTGTTTGTTTTTCTTTTCTCTTTTATCATTACCTACATATATGATTTTTTAAAAAAGTTTACTTTATGTGTGTCTATGTTTTATGTTTTATGTCTATATGTTTATTATTAGTCATATTATTTTGAAAAGTGGTGTCACTCCTTTGATCAGACTTCTGTATAAGTGACACCATCCATACTTATCATTAACTTATTATAATAAGAAATATATCATTTTACTTATTATTATTATAGTAGTTATTATTATTTGTAATTTTTTTTTGTTATTATTATTATTATTGTTATAAATTATTTCTATTGCTTATTATTTTATAATTATTATTGTTATTATTATTTACCTTTATATTGTAAAAATGATTTTAAAATGGAAAATAAATAGCTTGTTGTTGTTGTTGTTGTTGTTGTTGTTGTTGTTGTTGTTGTTGTTGTTGTTGTTGTTGTTTTGATTCACTTCTTTGTGTGATATAATAGAGAGAAAACAAGAACTAAAGTCAATTGTTTGCAATTAAAGTTTAAATGAATGAATTTGATACTTTGATTTATTTTACATCGCTTTTAAATACAGTTTTAGGTTTAAACAATTATTTAAATATACTGACTTCTTTTATTTCTATTTTCATTTTTAAAATGTAAATGTAAAAAAAAAATTTATATTTATCTTTATAGTAAATTTTTAACAAAACATTTTGTTGCAATCTTCTTGTAACTTTTTAAATAGCTAAATTGACTTTATAATTGGCGACTGTCGATATAAACTTTATATATATGGAAAGATTTTGAATATTTAAGTTTTTAAATACTTTAGTATTTTAAAATTAAAATTTTTAAAAATCTTTTTGAACTTTTTCACATAGATATTTGTATTTTTGTTCATCTAATTTTTTATTATAGTTTTTATCATTAACAAATTTTTTTCTTTTTTTGGTCTTTTGAACCTTTGGGAATTTTAAACCAATTGGGAATCCCCTGTAAAATGCAGTACTATCAGGCTGGCTAACACCCTGTTAATTTAATAATATAAATTATTATTTTTATTAAATTTATAAGTTTAATTATTATTGTCTAGATTTGCTTGATGACATTGATAAATTATGTGAAGAATATATATCCAAAGTAAAAGATCTGCCTGCTGCAGAGAGGAAAGATTTCTTTTCTAAAATTGAAAAAGCTTTTCAAAAGAGTAGAGAATATGGAGATGATAAAGTTCAGCTTGCTGTTCAAACATACGAGATGGTGTGTCTAATTACAATGATTTATTACAGTAATATAACCATATTTAAAACTAGCCCTAACCCTAACCCTAAGTAGTAAATGACTAGGGCCCTGGACCCAGCTAAAAATTAAATTTTTTTCAATCCCGGCCCCGGCTAAACTATAAGATTTAGTATGGGTTGATAGCCAGGGCTAGAAAAAAATTTATAATACTTTATATATTATAATTTTATGCTTACATTTACTATTTATTAAATACTGGCATATATTTATACATTTTCAAACTCTAATTTACTTCTAACAAGATTGCAAGCAACCACTATTAAGTTATGAGTTACTTTAAAATAGAGAATAAGTAAAAATACTAGGAAATGTTTAACTGAAGACTTAAAAAGTTCTAGGTTGTATATAAAAGAAAAACATGAAGATGGCTAATAGTTATAAGGGTTTTTTTGACGTACAAGGAAAAAAACTGGATAAATAAAAGTTTTTATGGCATGAAGGGACAAATACAGTAAAACAATGCGACTTGTTGAATAAGAAACAAAAATGAGTTTTGGTTTATTGTAATGGAAATGATAGCTTGTTTGAGCATTAACCATGATTGTATTTGTAGAAAAAAGAAAGAAATGCAACCTTACAACAATAAGAGTAAAAGTGAAGATTTTTTGTCAAGACAAGAGTATAAAGTTGAGTTGTCAACAAATTGTTAAATTTTCATGAAGCTCGATATTGTAGATAAGAAACAATACAGGAGCAAAATCTATAGGTACCACAAGATACCGTGTGGTACCCTTAAAGTTACTTGAAATAAAGAATTGAGGCCTTCAAGAATAACTTTGTTACTGCAGTTAGTAAGAAATTGTTTAATAAACCTTTATTTAAAGAAACTAATAACAGAGTGAAGACTAATTGTAGGATAGTTGGAGAGGTCAAAGTGTTTTCTAGAGTTTTAAAAAATTAGAACCACTTATTTAGCACTTTTTAAAAATTAAATATTAATCATTATACAATTAATAAGATGTTAGACAACTTTAGTTAATGATATTTTTGAAGAATAACCAAAAATGCTTTATGCATACATGTTATGCATATAAACATAATTGTTTGGTATTTATTTAGATGCTGAAATACAATATCCTTTCATTTATATAAACTTTAGTATTTATATGGTGTAGTATTTGTCGAAAGGAAGATGATGATGATGATGATGATGATGATTATTATTATGATAATGATGATGATTATGATATCATGTTGATAATAAAGATGTTTATATATGCATATATATATACAAAATAAAACATGAATTTTGAATTAAAAAATATACTTTAGGATGTATAAATTTTATGCAGCCCCAGGCACAAACCCGGCCCCAGCTTTATTTTATCAAACCTGGCCCCGGCCCTGGTTAAATATCAACCCTGGTTGTTTACTAACTGGTTGTTTACTAACCTAAGCCAGATCTTGGTCCTGATCCTAACCAAGCTGTCAGTTGATTTAGGAGCACTCCTAATGGCAGCAGGCTATAAGAAAGTTGATGTATGTACTTTTCACTTTGAATTCAAGTTGCTTATAAGGACATATTCTTTACAAAAAAATAATGCTTATGAGGACATTATATTTATGAACACAAAAATGTCGCCAATTATTCTAATGTCTCTGTAATATGCATTTTGTGTGTGTGTATGTGTGTGTATATATCTGTGTGTGCGTGTGTGTGTGTATATATATTGGAAAACCTTTTTTTAAATAATATCAGGGACCCATTTAATGTTTGAGGGTCCATAGCAATTTCTGAAGAGATTTTTTATTCAAAAATTTTTAAATCCAGTATTATTTTATCATATAGAGCTCATTTATGGGGTACCAGCAGATATTTTCAAAAAAAATATTTTTAGAACCACTCTAATATTGGTTTTAGGTTGATAAACATATCCGACGTCTCGACTCTGATTTATCAAGATTTGAGGAAGAGTTAAAATCACAAAGGCAACAACAACAAGAACAACAACAGCAACAAAGTGGAGAGGAAACTGGTATGATTGTTATGGCTATTTTTTTTTTAATAATTTTTGATTTATTTTTGTTGTATTTTTGTTTGACAATATTTGCAGATAATCGGAAGCGAAAACTTGAAAAAAATGAATCTTTGAAGAAGAAAAAGATTAAAAAAGAGTAAGATAATAAAAATATATTAAATTTTTTTTTTATATAGATTTAAAATGATCAACATTTTTAATTTTAAAGATAATTTTAGTTTTAAGACTTTGTTGTTTTAGTCTATAAATTTTACATAATCTTGTTCTTTTATATTTTTTTAGCGAACAAATAGAAATACCAAAGTCTAATCTAGTAACTTCTGCTACACCACTTATTACTATGGCAACTGATATGAATGTGCTTGATATGCCTGTAGATCCTAATGAACCCACATATTGCTTATGTCATCAAGTATGTAACATATTGCTTATGTCATCAAATGTGTAACATAATGCTTGTGACATCAAGTATGTTATCCAATTCTTGTATAGATTTAAAATCATTGTATTGTTTTTATTATTAAATGGATTTGAAAAACTACATTTCAGGTATCATATGGAGAAATGATTGGTTGTGATAACAATGATGTAAGTTCAATTGGATCATTTTCAATTATTTTTTCTAATATATTAAAAGTTATGTTTGTTTTTATCATTTTATAGCTTTTAAAATTAATAGATAGTATACAGTGCATTTTTGCATGACTAGTAAATTATTTCTGTGTTTCACTCTTAGTACAAACTACCATTCACTAACAGTGAATAAAAAAATTAATTAATTTTTATAATTAATATTAATTATATAATTATATTGAAAAACTGAAACCTTTTGTTCTCTTATTCAATGAAGTCAGTTTTCTGAAAATGATTTCAGTAACCTGATATATATAGAGAAATGCTTCAAAAAATGTCTGAAAATTTATGTCTTTTGAGCTATAGGCTTTGTAGAAAGTTTTTAACTTTTCAAAAGTGTTGTTAATTCATAGGCAAGCATTAGATAGCAGATTTCTCAACCTCTTCTCCTCAGTAACATTGACTTTTAAAACTTTAGCTCCAGAACTCATTCAACGCTATCACACTTCACTTGGTTTATTCAAAACTAATTTGCAATGCATTGTCTTAACAGCAAACATTTGTGAAGTCATATAAAATTTGTTACTATAAAATAATTTTTAACTTTTTTTTTTTATTTTTATTTTTATTTGCATTTACTCCCAACAAGGCTAGTTACTAGTTACTAGGAGAAAAAAAACAACAGAGTTATAGAGCAAGGAAACGGTTGACAGAAGACTTGAAAAGAGAAAGAGATGCAACTTTTCGACGATGGGAAAGAGGTTCAAGCTTAGCAGATAGTCCAGGTCCAACAACATTTACAATGCGTTTTTGGACCTTGTCAAGAAGAAAAAGTGAATCGTTAGAAGAACCAGCCCAAATATGACAACAGTATTCCATACAGGGACGAATAAGAGATTTGTAGAGGTAGAGAATGGAATCAGAAGTAAGGAAATGGCGAGCACGATAAAGAGAAGCAACCTTAGCAGAAGCTAATTTAGCAATCGATTGTATATATGGTTTCCATGAAAGATCAGTAGTAAGCGATAATCCAAGAAGACGTAAAGAGGAGGACTCAGTAAGAGGATTGCCATTCATTAATATAGGAATATTGACCATGTTACGGTAGTTGTTTGCAGTAAGGAATTGGGTTTATTTAGAGTTGAAATTCACAAGCCACTGTGAACCCCAATCTATTACTGAAGTGAGATCGAAAAGAGAAGACTTTTTGTCAAGACAGGAGTATAAAGTTGAGTCATCAGCAAAAATAGCTACTTTAGATGAAAGGTTGTCAGGAAGATCGTTTATGTAGATAAGAAACAAAACAGGGCCCAGGATGGAACCTTGGGGAACCCCAGAAGTTACTGGAAATAAAGAAGAGTGTTGGCCTTCAAACTTTTATGATTTTTATAGCAAAGGGACAGAATGATAATAATTAACAGGGTGTGCCATTTAAATTGCCCCCTTATTGTGTACCTCTAAATCATTTTTATTATCAAATTTTTTTTTAACAATGTTAATTTATTTTTTTACTCAGTAATGTTATCTTCTAAAACTTATATTTTATTAGGCTAAAAAGCCTAATAAAGTTTAGATCTCAAAAACTCAGATCTCTGAAAAATATATCATTACATATTAAACATCAATCTGTGCTATTTATTTTGTTGCCACTGTATATATATTTGCATGCTTATATGTTAGTATCATTTTTCTTTCACGTTTGTTTAAAAATGATTATAAAGTTTACTAAACATCAACTTTATTTAGTTAATAAGAACAGAATTTTGATTTATAGAAATAAATTACTTCAAAATTTACTTTTTGATTACATTTATTTTTAAAAAAAAATTACTTCCCCCTGATCATTTTTGAACCTATTTAAAGATTTTAAGTCTTCTTTCTTTCCTTTTTTACATCATTGAGCAAATTTTCAACAATTTAAAAAAAAAAAAAAAATTTAATTTTAGCCTAATTTTAAGTTATTCCTGTTTACTCTGCAACTCCATCTTGGCTAAAACATACTCTAACCATTAGATTACCTTCTCCATGTTTTACAATAGGTAGTTGGTATTTAGGATCGTACCTTGTAACTTATGGAGGCCAAACATGAATGGTTTCATCTGATCTGAACAGCATAAACTTGCTTTTATCACTAAAAAGAAATTTAGAATCTTGCTGACTACTCTACTAGATGCTCGACTACTCTACTACTAGATGCTCGACTACTCTACTAGATGCTGACTACTCTACTAGATACTCGACTAGATGCTCTGATGCAAATTACTTTCAGGTTTAAAATTTTTTAAGGAAGCTAATGGCTTCATAGCTGGGTGTCTTCCAAATAAATTAGCCTGATGTAAATGACGTTTTATAGAAGAAGTATTACAATTCATTCCTATAGAAATGTCTCATTTTTATGATTTTATAGACAGCTGTTAAACAGGGATTTTCTTTGCTTCATTTACAAATTACTAATTTTGTGGGAAAAATGTTAAAATTTGTTCAAATTGTTAAATTTTTTTTTGCTTCTTCTGAACACACTTGCATATATTAAGGTGTCCAAAAAAACAACATTTTTGAAAAATATTTGCTGCCACCCTCTTAATGTGTTCTATATGATATATATTCAACACTAAATTTAAAAATTTTTTAAATAAAAAAATATTTTTAGGGGTCCCTCAAGACCCTTTAAGAACATTTAATTAGTTCCTAATATTATAAAAAAAAAAGTTAATGTTGAGTATAAAGTGAAGCGAAGTTATATAAAAATTTTAAAAATGATAATTATATTATATAAAAATAAATATGTTATATTTAACTACATAAAAATAAAGTTTATTAACTAAAAATGAAAATAGTGCTTTTTATCAATTTTTTTTAAAACAATTTTTATTCAATAACTTTTTTATATTATAATTATCTTTTTTGAGATTTTTATTCAATTTCGCTCTAATTTCAGTCTAATGTGTGTGTATAAATATATATATATATATATATATATATATATATATATATATATATATATATATATATATATATATATATATATATATATATGTATGTATGTATGTATGTATATATACTAGAATAAATGGAATCGACACAAGGTACCTTTACTCTGTAAACAGGAGCTTATCCAAGTTGGAAATAATATCGAATTTGCATGAAACCATGTCAGAGAGTGAATTCAGCTCAAATGGGTCCGTGAAAGCTGAAGATAAAGATGATTTTTTATACCCAGATCCAGATTTGAAGAAAAAAGTAAAAAGAGCTGATACTGTTCTACTTCCAAAAGATATTCTTAAGAGAACTGCAGATACTGCTGTTGGGGAAGGAATAAGTCATAGGCAGCATGCTTTCATGGTTAATAGTATAATCGCTAAATTGGGTGGAAATATAGCTGAATTTAAATGTTCAGCCTCTACAGCATTACAAGCAGTAGATAAGGTCATTCATGATGAATCAAAGAGGATCAAGGACAATTTGAAAAATTTCAGAAAAATCAATAAGAACATTTTAGTTTAACTTCATTTTGATGGAAAAGTATATCATGAATATACTGATAGGAAAAAAATTGAAAAAAAGATTGAATAGAAATATTAGTAAATGATAACAAGGAAATGCACCTGTTGGGATCAGACAATTTCTTCTGGAACTGGCAAAAATCAAAAAAATGTGATCAGAGATCTTAAATAGCTTTAAGCTTACAGACAATATACAAACTGTTACATTTGATACATATCAATACTGGAAACAGATATGGTGCTGTATCTTTACTGGTAAATGAAGCTTTTCAGCAACCAGTTCTATCTATTGCATGCCGACATAATGTCAATGAGCTACACATAACACATTTCTAGAAAAATATCAAAGTAGAATTACTTCTGGACCAGATAATCTGCTGTTTAAAACTTAAAAATCAGCATGGAATGATTTTTACGTAGATAACTAGGTAGGGTTTAACATAATTTGCTACTTTTCCCAGTTTGAACTCTTTGAATTTTTTTTTATATTTTAAACAAAAAATGTTTTGAGAAGATTGGCTATTCCAAAGAAAACATGGCTTGGTCATCAAAAGCATGAAAGTATAGTGTTCTGCAGAAGTATTATCACCATTGGGTCTGTAAAAAAGGTTGCCCAACAACTAGATATCTAAATTTATAGTTATCTATGTAGTATGTACTATTATGTAGTAATTTATTATAGATTTTGTCTGATTCTGTTATTCTTTATTACGCTTTTACTCTAGCCTTATGATAGGCCAGAGTAAAAGTGACTGTAAATGGATTAAAACCCCTCCAGAATATTGGACTTGCGATGATTTCAACCTAAAATTTCAGGACACAGTTTTTATTATTTCAGCTGTTAATTATTGCTCTGAAAGAACTGTTAAACTCATAAAGGACGACATTGATATTGCTCAAAAAGAAG